TTTGTGAAGTTTTTATCCACCGTACTTCTACAAAAATTAAACAAATTATACAGTTTTATCTGTTTCCTGTAAAAAAACGATAATTTAAGTTAGCAGGTATTGTCAGATAACCGACGATATGATTGCCTGTAGGTTTTAGATTTAGACTGCACGCTTGGGCCGGGTATATCTACATATTGAGACCTTCCGCTCAGGAAGGAGTAAATCCAACGGTGAGCATTGCCTACGACTCCATATAACTCCAATTTGTCCAGAAGTAGCTGGTGGTTAACAACATTAAACGCCTTGGACATATCAAAATATATTCCCAAGGTATACAGGTTCTCATCAAGGGATTTATATATGCAGTTGGTCGAGTCAACCATGCCGCTAGTGGTAGATTTGCCGCTTCTAAAGCCGTGCTGAGTTGGAGAGAGTAAACGGAAGTCTTCAAAGTAGTGGGACAGACGTGTGACGAAGCATTTTTCAAAAACTTTAGAAAATGCTGACACAATAGATATTGGTCGATAATTGGCTACGTCGTGACGGTCACCTTTCTTATACACTGGGACGACGCGAGCGACCTTTAATGCCTCTGGAAAAAAGCCCTGTACGAAGGATTCGTTGACCTTATGTGCAAGCGGGGCACAGAGGAGGGGGCCCACCTATTTTAATATGTAAGGGGGGGACATCATCGGTGCCCGCTGAGCTTATTTTGTGGTTATTTCACGTTGAAGTACTCGATTTGCATTTGACGAATGAGAACTTACTTTTCATGAGCTACAACTTTGCTTCTACTAGGTCTACAGACTTTATATTAGCCCATTTTGTTTGTTTTTTTATAAACTATATTTTTGCTAAGAATACTTTTTTCGATACAATACTTGCTTTTAGAGTTATTTGCGAAAAACCGTCTGAAAACGTGGTTTTTTTTTGTTGAAAAATGAACATTTTCACTCGCAAATAACTCGAATACTATTGACTTAGTCAAAAAAACTCTATAGAATAAAAGTTGCTTAGAATTACTCAATTTATCAATTATTTTGAACGTATTGTAATAGCAAACCTGGGCTCAAGTTCACCTTTGAAGTAGAGGGTAAGAGGAACGTAAATCCAAATTTTCAAGCAAATCCGTCGAGGCGCGAAAAATTACACGCCAAAACGGTCATTTACTGGTCTATAAGGTCCAATTTACGAAAAAGCGATTAGACTCATAATAGTAGAAATGGGTAATACACGGAGAGCTGACTACTGAAAAAAGTGACATCGGTACATGTAAAGTATCCTGATACATAGTGAAGTGGAAAAACTGATGTCTGCCAGCAAAATCCCGTGCCTTAAGGTTGGAAGGGGTGGTTAAATAAGGCAAATTTTAATAAAACTGCCGATTTTCCGACTATATTTACCTCTGGCGCCTTTATTTTGAATCCGACGCAAAAAATGAATGAAACTTTTTTGTGCAGCTTATCAAGGTACATCTTTTTTGTATTTAACATTTTTCGCTATGATGCTTACGTTTCGAGAAAAGTGCAAAAATATATATATATA